GAGTTTGCTTCTCTCAGATTCCACTTCTCTGCCAAAGTAGAAGGTAAAAACCACTACTCTCCAGACGGTGGTCCTCTCTAGGGGTATTTATAGCCAGAGAAGGGCATCTTAGAGGCAGGAAGTAAAAGTCACAAACCCTGGTTCCAATTTATCACAGACAGGATGATCTCAATAACTACAGCATTTGCAAGAGGGTTTGTTTAACAAAGACAGGAGGCTCCAAATGAATGAAAGAGAGCCGACCGTGGACTGAACACAGTTCATCTGTTTCCAGCTCTTTTCTGCCTAAGTCAAGCTCAACCAACTCTATTTTTCTCACACGCAGGGCAGGCGCAGGGCAAGGGCATCCTGCCTCCTGGCACTCTGGATTCCCTGAGCCTGGCCTTACTGGGATCAGGAGCTCTGCCAATGGAGAGGCCTCACACAGCACTCGGAATGAGTTGGGGGGAGAGAGGTGGTAGTCACAGCCGCCTCTGCTGTGTCCCACGCATGACTTTGAATGCAATCACCAAACTAGGTTACATCCCCCCAAAACGAGGGATGTCTGGAGGGATGGAACCCAGGGATGGGGAACTCTAAGGAAAAGCCTTCTGGAAGAGCAGCCCTCACCTTCCATTATTGTATAAGCAGGGCCCAGCCGTACAGACAGATGGCTCCAGGGCTTCCGGAGGGAGAGGCTGAGGGTTACCGGGCTTTGTCCTGGCCTGGTCTCCCAGGAGAACTGTTGCTGGGCTTTGAGAAGCCCAGGAAATGGGTTTTCCTCAGTGGCCATGTTTGTGTACATGTGTGTGGCAGGCAAGGGCTGGGGAGGGGATGTAAACATTTACAAGTACTCTGTTGTCTCTCAAAGCCGGACTTGATTCCCTAAGGCCCTGAGGCCCGCCAGTTCTGGGGTGACTGAGACAAAAAGAAATTCTCGCTGAGCCACAACTTTCTCTGCCTGACTTTCTCTCACTCAGATTCACGGCATTTGTGACGTCAGCACTTTCCCTGCACACCAGTCAGTCACTGGACTCTGGCAGTCTCCAACTTTGGTCTCGTCCCTGTTTGCACCGGACCTACACCCTCCAGCCAGCCCTCGTCTGTTCACGTACCTTCTAGCACGTCCTTCCCTGACATTGCTTTCCTCCAGCCTCTCCTCTGAAGGCTCCCTACTGTCCTCTCAGTCACATCCTTTTACTTGACCCTGAAGGGCAGAAGCTGGGCCTCAGTGCCCTGCATGCAATCCGTGTTCAGGTCACAAAGAAGCCTTGATGGAGAAGAGGGTGCAGGATTGAGGAGCAGAGGGGAAGGTCTGCCCTTGTTCACCCTGGTTTGGAAGCCAGGATGGGCCCCACAGACAGAGGGAATCGAGTGCTAAAGAAGAATCGTGTGCAAGAGGAATTCTGACTGCTGGAAAGAGACAAGGACACGGGGCAATGAGAATAGGAAGCAGGGAAATAGAGAGATAGAGAGGCTGGGTTGTGAAGAGAAGACGGGGTGCCTGAAGCTCCGTAGTCTGTTGGGATGGCATCCAGGGAACCAGGGGGGGAGGAAGCATCTGTTAGAGAACTATCCAGCCTCTCGCGCCATCCCTGTGGACAGACATGGAGTCAGTGAGAACACACTGCAGGAGGGATGGTCAGCCTTTCACACCCCAGCAGGTTGGGGACCCTGTGGTCTCCGTTTTACACACAAGAAACCCAAGGCCAGACTGGGTGAGATTAAAGAATTTAGAGGATGGATGGCTCAGTGGGCAGAGGGCACACTTGACATGTTGGGGTGCTGGGTTTGATTCCTGGAACCCCATGGACACCCCAGCACAGTCAGGAGCAACCTCAAAGCCCAGAGCTGGGAGTAACTCCTAAATTCTGCTGGCTGTGGCCCCCAAACAAAGAATGGAAAAAATAAGCCCAGGGTCGAGATGTGCACTTGCCTTACATGTGAGTTTTATTCCCAGCACTTCAAAAAGAAAATGAGGGGTCGGAGCAATAGTGCCTGGGTTCAATCTGGGGATGAACCCATATGGTCCCCCAAGTACCACTGGGAGTAATTCCTGAGTACAGAGCCAGGAGTAACCCCTGAGCATCACTAGGTGTGACCCAAAAAGGGAAAAAAAAGGAAAAGAAAATGAAAGAACTTAACTTGTGGGGGTTAGGGGGTACATTCAAGCAGGCACAGGCAGTAAAGACTCAGAGCTGGGATTAAGCTCAGGGCTTGGATTTGTGCAGCTCAGCAGAGAACGCAACACCAAGAAAAGACCCCCAACAGAAATGATTATTAGGGTCTAGTAGAAAGATCCCACACAGATCCACAAGTCTGGAAAACTGTGACATGTTTTTATTTGGAGGGGGATGGAGGTGGGTGGAAATACACCCACTCAGACGCCACTCCCTAACCATTGATGGGGAGGGGGTCCACTCAGGGATCCTGCAGTGTTCAGGGACCATGTGGTCAAGTGCTGGAGCTGAACCTTGGCCTCCTGCTTGCAAAAGCATGTGTTTGACCCATTGGGTCAACTTCCTGCCCCCATGGAATGGTTTTTAAAGTCACTTGGAGTTGTGGAAGATGAGCTGAGTGGAGACTAGAGCCTTAGCCAAGGCTAACATTGTCCGCACCTAGCTCCCTTATCCCTCCCTCTGCCCTGAATCCTCAGAACTTGCTGTACTTTAGTGTAACCCCTTGTTCACAGCACGTACACATCAATTTAAGAAAGGGGAGTAAAACCTGGGTACAGCAAACAACTGCACTCATCTGAAAGAGGGTTTAACCCAGGGAGGGTTTTGGTGCCTCAGGATTTGACCTGGAATTGTGTCCTGAATGCCTATTAGCGCTCCAGCAGCTCCCAGCAATCCCCATCTTGACCTCTAGGTGGCGCTGAAACCTTACACTGACGTCCTAGATTTGGGCACTGCCCATGCCCAGGGAAAAAGTTCTTCCCATTCCAGATGCCTGTTCAAGCTCATCTCCTGCGGTCAGTTCTCCCAAGTACAAGGGGGTTGAAATTGTTATCATCTTTCTTTTTTTGTGGTGCTGGGGATGGAACAAGGGGCCTCATACACATATTCTCTACCCCGAGTGACATCCTAGCTTGCTATATTCTTTCTACCTTCTGCTCTGTCACAGTTCCTTGGCCTCCTCTAAGGAGAAATAGGTGGGTCAACCCCACCTTCCCATTTCTGCCTGGGACTTCCCAAAGCAAGCAGTGCACCCTTTCTTTTTGGAGCTCAAATAGCGGGAGTGCATGTGTGCACGGAGCCCTGATTTCCTCCCCTGGCACTACATGTTCTCTAATGAAAGAGACCAGCACCCACCCCCCCGCAACACGCACACACACAGTCCCCATCTGGAGTGGCCCAAAACAGCAGCAGCATCTAACTGAAAAGATCATATAATAAATTGAGCGATAGCACAGTGGTAGGGTGTTTGCCTTGCACACCGGCCGAGCTGAGTTCGATTCCTCCGCCCCCACACGGCAAAGCCTGGCAAGCTACCCGTGATGCATTCAATATACCAAACACAGTAACAACAAGTCTCACAATGGAGACGTTACTGGGCCCACTCGAGCAAATCGATGAATAACAGGAGGACAGTCTACAATGCTACAGTGCTACAATTCATTTTAAAATGCAAGCTTCAAAATGATCAAAACAATGATATCCACATACTTCAAAACATAGATACTTTTTAATTGCCATAGACAATTAAAATAATGGGTATGGTCCTTCATCCACTCTCTAACCCAGCAGGCATGTGCGGTTTTTGCAGATTCCCTTCCCCAGCCCCCTATACCAGCTGTTCTGATAGTGCTTAGAACTGTGGCTAGTTTCCCATTATAAAATGGGAAAGAATTCTTCACCCATTCGTTCTGTAAGCACTTAGGCTAGTTACTAGGTAGGTCACTGGCAGAGGCCCTGGGGATGGCAAGGAATTAGACAAGAGTTTCTTCTGGCTGAGCGCCCACCCCACGAGTAAGCTCCTGGAATGCCAGGTGCTGTTAAGTTCTTGGAAGAAAAATAGAGCAAGAAGTGGGATGGGCAGGATGGGCAGGTTTGGAACATGTTCGTGCTCAAGAGAAATGGCACTGAGTAGAAGTGGCACTGAGGAGAAACTTCAAATGTGGAGAGCAAACAGCAGAGGAGTAAATGGGGGGGGAGGGGCAGTAGATAGTCAGCTTGCTGCCTCCCACCCCATCCTCCCTATCCTCCAGGAAGGGAGTGTTTGTGTGTGTGTGTGTGTGTGTGTGTGTGTGTGACAGTGTGAATGTGTATGTAAATGTGACTGCATGTGTGGCTATGTGACTCTCAGTGTATTGAGTGTGTGTATTGGGGAGGGGGCGTGAATATGACTGTGAATGCCTGTGCATGTAGCTGTGTGACTGTCCGAGCGTGCATGTGTGTATGTGACTGTGTATGCGTATGTGAGTCACATTGTGTATTCGAATGTGAGTGTATGAGAGTGTAAATGTGACTGGATGTGGCTATTATGTGAATGTGACTGTGTGGCTTTGTCACTATCAGTGTGTGTGTGTGTGTGTGTGTGTGTATGAGAGGGAGAGAGAGAGAGACCCTATGAATGTAAATGTGACTGGATATGGCTACTGTGTAAATGTGACTGTGTGTGGCTGTGCAACTATCAGTGTGTGTGTGTGTGTGTGTGTGTGACCGTGTATGAGAGTGTAAATGTGACTGGATGTGGCTATTGTGTGAGTGTGGCTGCGTGTGGCTGTGTGGACCATCAGAGAGAGAGAGAGAGTGTGTGTGTGTGTGTGTGTGCTGGGGGCGCGGAACCCCTCCCCAGACCCCACCCTTCTCCCCTCTCCGGCCCCCCCAGCACGCAGACAGCCGCCCCTCCGCCCCGGAGCCTGGCTGAGTCGCTGGTAAAGTTTACGCGGCTCAAAGTGACGCAAAAATTCTTGCCGCGCTCTTTGGCGGCCGCTATCTAGAGATCAGACCTCGTGAGGGGCCGCGAGTACAAATACGGCCGCCCGGCTCCGGCGCGCCACAGGCAGCAGCCGCCGTGCGTCGAGGGCGCGAGGGTCGCCCCGCCGGCCGCGGAGAGCCCGAGAGCCCGAGAGCCCGAGAGCCCGAGCAGGTGGGTCGGCTTCTCCTCCGGCGGCCTCCCCGCGCCTCTTGCAGAACTTCGTTCCCGGGCAGCGGCGAGCGCGCGGGCGGCGGGCGGCGGGCGGCGGGCGCGGGGCGCGGGGCGCGGGGCGCGGGGCGCGGGGCGCGGGCGGACGGGCGCGGGCTCGGGCGGGGGTCGGGCCGGGGTTCGGGCGGGGAGACTCCCCCAGGGACGCCCGGCGCCCGCCCGGCGCCCGAGAGAGCGGCCCTGAGCTTCTCCCCGCGGCTCGCCGGGGCGTGACTCTGGCCATCGCGTGCGCCGAGCGTTCGGCAGAGGCGCTCCTGCCCGAGAGGCCCGTTGACATACATGCTCAGACGCCTAGAAAAATCTCCGAGTGACACTCCGGGGCCGGCCGCCTCGGCGCGGTCCTTCCCGACCGTCTCGGAGACGCCAACTCCCACGAGCGGTTGGAGCCGGGGGAAGTGGGTAAGCCGTGCATCGCTTTCTAAATAAAACAAACAAACAAACAAATAAATAAATAAATGACTGCCTTCAAATCCAGTTCTGAAAAATAGATCCCTGGGGCTGAACAATAAGAGAAGAGCGCATTTCCTCTTGCCCTGGATCTTCTTGGCTAGATTGAATTTCTTTTTCATTTGGGGTTCCTGGGAATTTTGAGAGGGCTAGGATTTCCGAGGCAGACGTTACAAAGGCTGGTGCGTGTGGGTCTTTTTATGATCAATTTTGTTCAAAAGAGAAAAAAAAATTTTTTGAACCGGGTCCCTGGTCTACTTATGACCTGCTAGCTCTTACCACAAAATCTAATATTAAATGTGTTTTGCCTTCCGTGACATAGAGGAAATGTCTAAGAAGTCTTAGAAGGCAAATTTGGGAACTTGTGTTTCATGAGATGGAGGGGCATGAATGTTTGGGTTTTCAGGAGTGCATGAGGCGCATGGGCTTGATTCTGTTCTCTGACCTGCTGCCCAGAGGTACATTTAATTCCTGCAGACTCTGGCTGGGTTGGCCGCTTCCGTAGTGCAGGAGAGGCAGGTTCTTAAGGGGTTTGTGCAAATTAAGCAAGTCCTTTGGAGGGATACATCTCCTCTCCTTTCCACTCTTCTCCCTTTCCTCTCCTCTCTTTCTCCTTCATCTTCTCCTCCTCCTCCTTCTCTTCCTTTTCCTTTTCCTTTTTCTTTCTCTCCTCTCCCTTTCCTCCTATCCTCATCCCACCGACCAGAGTGAATTGAAACTTCATTCTCAAGTCACTTCAATGCTGATGAGTGGCTCAGGACATTTCGGGGATGTAACTACCAGCCCAGATTCAAACCCATTTCTTTCCATCTCCTTGGAAAGAAATAGAAATACTAAGGATGGTCAGGGGGCGGAGGTAGGATGGGTATGGAGTAATGGAGAAGATTTAATGGACTCACAAAACCTCAAATTCCTCTGGGGAGAGAGGAGGCGTCTAGGATTGTCTGAGCATTTTGATGAAACTCAGAGAAGGAGTTTCGTAGATGTGCAAGGTGAGGATAGACTGACGATGCGTTCCTGGAGGGATTGTCTCTTACAAACTGTACCCCACACTCTGCTCTTCCAAAGAGAAACATAGGTACTTCCCAACACAAAGCCAGCAAAGCACTGTTCCTTCTCCTTCATTCCCAATAAAATGCTTTTATTTGAGAGGACAGGGCTGCCTGAAGTTTAATTTTAATTTGACTTTAATGAATCAACAGGATGTGGTCATGACTTGACATTTTTTCCCTTTCCTAAAGATGCCCATGGCATCTTTTGATGCAGGCACTTTTCTGCCATTTTAAGGAAACATCACAGACCTCAACCATTCCTAGAAACTCTCCCCTGAGACTTGGTCTTTGGCTAAGAGGTTGGGCTGATAACACCATGTCCTGTCCCTCTAACTCATTCTGTAACTGCTCCCTGAATTCTCTGCACTAAACAAACTTGAGTTGAAATAAAGGAGAAAAATGATAGAATGTCAGGACCCTCTGCCCTAATGTTCCAGATCTTGCCATCAAGATTCTCCTCCTGTTAGAGTTTCTCTCTAAGGTAGAGTCTTTGCACAATCTGACACTTGAGGCTGCACCTTAGTCATGTCCAAACCACAGTGGGGTTCATCTCCCCATCTTTGTGAGAGTCCCCAATGCCATACGGTGGAAATGGCTGCCCTCAGCAGCTTAGCTTTAGACCGGTGAGATTTTTCTTCCCCGGACACTGAGCTTGTGCCAGTCAGTTTCATTGTCCTGAAGTTTGTGGGGTACCACAAACAGACACCCGGGGTGCAAGTTTCAAAGGCCTGAGGAAGGGTTCATTTCTCCATACTTGAAGCAGGTTGACTCACCTTGCCTTTGGGGATATTTGATTTCTGAGCTTATTCCGGTCAAATAGAGCCTGGAGAAGGAAGAGAATCATCCTTCTAGAGGGATGTGGTGGAAAATAGATGAAATGATCCCTTTCAAGAGGCATGCTGCAAAGGGCTTTCCATGGGCAGAAGCAGACAAAGTGAAGTGCTTCCATGGATGGCACGAAACTCCTTATTTCTAGGCAGAATGCAAATACTCTGGGGTCTCCATGCAGAAATGATGGCTTAACCTCAGCTCTGCCTGCCCAGGGGCCATCCCTCCAGCCTGACCTTTGTCAGCACTGGTCGCTGGGAAGATGAGCACTCAGTTATCAACCCGCTAACCCTCTGTAAATGCAAAGTTCTCTTTGCCCTGTGCTTAATGGAATGGGGAAGGCAAGTGAGGAGAATGGGGTGGGTGGGAGGCAGCCAGGCGGCCTTGTTGCTCTTCCTTCTAGTTCCCCTGGAACCTGGCCGCAGCTCCCCCACTGCCACTGTGTTTTGCACCCAGGGTAGCTAGGGGGGACGCAAGCCATGGGACTGGAGGGCGCACTCTTTGCCCCAGAAGCCCTTGTGCTGCCAAGTCCTCACTGAGATAAAGCCCAGCCATGTAAAGCGAAGACAACAACGTCCTGGGCAGCTGGGTGGCCAGGGCTTCGAGATGCTGACAAGTGGCCCAGGGAGAGGGGAAGATCTCCTTGTACCTGAGATTATTTGCAGAGGGCAGGCAAGAGGTGAGATAGGGCCGAGCGTCTGGGAGCGACACTCACTGCTCAGAGAGTGTTGTGTGCTGGGAAAATCCAGTGCTGTGGCTGGTGGGTGAGCTGGGAGGGGCAGCACTTGAACCCTCAGCTGGCTTGTCCCTTCTGGAGTATTTCTGTTGGGTCTTTCTGGGCATTTGAAGGAAAGAAAGAACCTTTTATTCCCTTTGTTAGCGAGCTGCTGAATAAAATGAAAATAAACTGAACCGTGCTCTTTCACTAAGGGATTCCTTAATATTAGGGGGTGGCAGAGCTTTCTAGAAGGATTTGCTCAAGCTTGCCTGAGGTCTAGGGGTGCCTAAGGACTCAGTCAGGCCTAGAATCTGAGTCTCCTATACTTCTGTTCTTCCCTCCACTCATCATGTTGTTTTTAAAATGCAAATCAAATTAGCTGGCTCCTTCTCTTGTTTAAGGAGAGGCACTGGGGAGGCCAGAGAGGAGAGGAGAGGGGAGGGGAGAGCAGGGAGAGGAGAGACTCTTGGGGCTCCCCTTTGCTGACAGCTCACAGAAGTGGCTGGGTCGGAGGCTTCCCAGCCTGGTCTGTGCAAAGAGCTAGAATTCCCCCACTCCCAACCCTACCCCAATGGCCACTGTTTTTCTTTTTGAAAAATTTCAACTGAAAACTCAGAGAAATGATCCAGTGAATCCTCATCCAGATCCACCAGTCTTAACATCATTCCACATGTGCCCACACGCCTATAGGATGATCTCATGCTTGCATATTTAATATATATAACTTGATATGTTGTATATAATACCTGACATGACACAATAATTATGTACTTTAGAAATGCATCTATTTGGTGAACCCTTAGAATTTCTAGACACCCACATGTATTGCTCCTGAAAACTTCAGCACTGACTACTTAGAAGACCATTTTCCTATACAACCAATTCCAGCCCCTTTCTTACTGTAACACATTAGTGAAATACTATTATCAAACATACAGTGTAAGGCTGGAGCAATTATATTGCAGGTAGGGTGCTTGTCTTGCACATGGCTGACCTGGGTTCAATCTCTGGAATCCCATATGGTCCCCTGAGCCCCACAAGGAATGATCCCTAAATGCAGAGCCAGGAGTAAGCCTTGGCTGGGTGTGGCCCCCAAACAAAACAAAGCAAAAAATAAACATAAAGCACACCATCAAATTTCTCATACTACCTTTGTCACTTACAGGGTTGCTTTCTGGGATGAAACTCCCAGCGATCAGAGATTTCTCATATCTTGCCTTCATCTCAGTGCATAGCTGAGCTCTTGACCAATCTTGGCAATGCGGGACTGATCTTCCATGAATGTCCAGAGAATGTGTGTAATTCAGTAAAGCACATTCAGAACTTCTTGATCTGTGAGAAGAGGCCCCATCAGTTCAAGCTGCAGCATCCAAATCACAGACATCCTGGGGCACCCCAGGCTTTGTGTACTCTGCTGCTGACCCCATTTTTTTCCTTCCCACTTTGTTCTCTCCTCCTGACTTCCCCCCACTACACACATAGAAACGGGCCCACCTCCCCCAATCCTTTCATCTCCATCAGATCTCATTCCACTCCAGACTCCTCTCTTCTCTCCTCCTCCCACCTCTTCCTCTGCCACCACACGAAATCCGCCCTCATTTCACAATATCATATCCCCACTCTGGTTTTCCTCTGACCTTTCCCTGCTCCCACTCTTGACTCTGTTTGTGGATCTAAGCGTATCTGGGGTGTTTTTTTTTTAGTTAATTTAATTTTTTTTTTTTGCCACACCTGAAAGTACTTTAGGGGCTACATTTAACACAGTGCTTAGGGATAACTCTGAGCAGTGCCCAGAGGACTATGTGACACCAGAAATTGAACCCAGGCCTCTGGCATAGAACACATGTTTTGTTTTTACACCTGGAAGTGCTCAAGACTAAATCCCGGCTATGTAATCA